TGATTTGGTAAATACTATTAATAGATTGTTATACAAAATAAATATATACATTCGAGTATCAGTTCTTGACCACTGTCAATAAAATATCATTGTTGAAAAAAGTACCTTGGACATTGTTCCCAGCCCTGCCCATACTAATCTGATTGCAATTCAAAACAATAACATCTTGAGTTAAACAAACTTGTTTGAAATTAGCCTGAGGTCTAATAATTTGGTATCATCAATACTTCACCAATGTTCTTACCGGTCAACTTCTTTATACTTTTTTTTGGCCGAAACCGGCAGTTTGTGATCTGGTTGAGGAGACTGTTTCACCCTCACAATCCTGCATACCTATTGTAAAGTTAACTCTGAATCTCCCCATGTGGTGGTGGTTAGGGTGGCGCAGGGGCGCAGGTTTGCAGTACCTTATTAGTTTTGGCCAGAGAGGGTATCTGTTTCTTTTTTCAAGGTACAAAAAAGTGAAATTAATTCACTATTTTGCAGCTTGAACAAGGTGTCTTTTTGGATCCAAAGCTTTAAAGAGAGCGTGACTGTTGGTGATGCATGGTCCAGATGATAGGTACCAACAATAAATTATATTTTAGAAAAATCTAATTCCATGATGTTACTTTACAAAAAGAATTAATTTCTTGTGCAAAACGACAGGAAAAAAATCAGGGTTGTGATAGTACATGTAGCTCTCTTGTCTTACTGCGCTTTTCACAAACATGCGAATTCTAAAGTTCCAAAGCCAACTGAAGATTGCGTTTTTCGCTGCCGTCAATCATCTTAACAGACCTCTTAGGAAACAAAACTTTACTTTAACGGGTTCAAAAGGTCAAGGTTTGTGATTTGTGATTGGTGGATTTCAATCCATCTTGTGTGTTTCAAGGTTCGTTGCTTGTGATCATAATATTAATGGACGGCAGCGAAAAACACAATTGTGAGGGCGGCTTTTGAACTTAAGAGTTAGCATGTTTGTGAAAAGCGCAGTAAAAAGGATCAGAATTTGAAGGGCTCGAAGGCACACCTCCACTTAAACTCTCACTGACTCCCCCCCCCCCTCTCGGGAATCTTAATACATTAATCTTTGAAACATAACACTAACACTGAAGCTTGCGTGGAAGAGGGCAAACAACAAGAACATTTTCTCCTTCAACAATGTCAAGCGCTGGGATGAATTTCCCATGGATTCTTTGGACAGGGATGAAACTTGCATTACCTTCTGGTTCAAATAGATCTTTGCACCAGACTTCAACTGGAGCTCCTAAGGCATGTCTGGAGGGATGAGCTTGAAACCAGTGAACTGATGCCAATATACATGACAGATACTGACCATTCACTATCACATTTTGCTTCATAAAAAAATCTACAACTCCAGGCCTCAAATCAGCCCCAGAACTGTCAATTGTACCCCCAAGTTTGCACCATCTTGCTGTGATAAAGGCCGACCTGTCACTTCTAGATTTGCTAGATCCCAGCTGGTCTCCATTGAATTTACAGGCAGCAGACCTCTCAAAGTATGGTGTAACAGAATCTTCATCTACACCATTAAAAATGGCACTATAACATTGTTTTAAATGACAAAGGTCACTAGCATCAAAACAATCTCTGGAAGAAGGTCCACAGCACATGAACAGGGACTCTGCACAGGACCACTGATCACCTCTTTGTACAGGGCCAATGGAGAGGCGACTTGCATGGATGACTTGTGAAAAAAAGATTTGTCATCTTCATTTGAGGAGCCTTCTTGCAGAGTTCCTGACTGTTTACTAGTCAGTCTTGATAGTAATGGCTTAAATCTTTCTTGAAACAAATCTGGATGGGGAATGTCTTTCATAGACTGATTTGAAGTAAACTTCCTCATTAACTGTATCTCAACTGCTCGTTGATTTGTACCATACTCTCCCAAGATGCCGTTGTAACGCTCAAAACTGAACAACCAAAAAGCATATACAGGACCGTAATCCAAAACACAGTCTAAAAGATGTGTATGCAAATGCATATTTGGGGTGACTGTTTCTTTACCATACAATTCTTCAAAACGCTTGCCAAAGTTTAAGAGGTGTGTGTGAGCCAACATTGCTTTAGCCTCTGTTATAACAGATGCACATAAATATGAACAAGCCAAAACAAACTCACGCCACAGTTCTAAGTCATCCTTTGGCAAGATGTTCCATAATGAATATATGGAAAATATCACGGTGAATGTCTTCCATTGATCAGCAGTGAAACCTCCATAGTTGTTCCTAATTTTCTTAGGCATTCTTCCAACAGAGGCTGGCACTTTCACCTTGTCCAATTTCTCCTGTACCTGAAGCAAGTCGTTCTTGTCAAGTAATGGCTTGTCTGAGTCAAGCCAAATGTTCCTCATGACATGTTTTGCTGTTCCTGTAAAGAGGTTATGCATTGGATCAACTATGTGAAAACGGACACAGTCAAAGTACGGTAACTGCATCAGTTCGCTGTACCTAGTACCATACTTTTGCTCCAAGGAGGAACAGTCACCTGCAGAGGTCTGGTTCAGGATCTCTTGAGCTTGCTGCCGGTGTTCCTGATTACTTCGTAGAGGTGAAGGATCGAATCCAGAGAAATCAATTTTAGTTGCCACTGTGCCTGGAAAATGCTTTTGACACTTAGAACAGCCAACGTTTGATGCATGACCTGTAAAACCACAAACCTTTCTTGCTGCAGGGACATCGCAACCTACACACAGAAGTGCTGCCGCGAAATACCTGGGTTGAGGTCAGGCCATGTGCTTTAATACTTACACCATGTTCCCACAAGGCTCTCAACTCAGCAACAAGAGGCTGCAAGTAAGTATTAATGTTCAGTTTAGGTTCATGGGGCCCAGGAATGACACCAATCAAAAAACACATTCTCTGGTTTGAACCTTTCAGTTCTTGGAAGGTTCATCAATGCCATGTATAGAGCCCCCACACTGTACAGTGAGTGTCGGAATGGCTGAAACCAGTCTACATTCAGCATAAAACCATAATTTCTAGGTGCTGCAAGGAAAGGTTTTCCAAAGGCAAATTGCCATTCCTTCCAGATGCGACCATCAAATACATCAGCTAGATATCCAACTGGAATATCCCTGTTTCTCCATGATTCACACATAGAGGCAAAGCCAGGTCTTTGAAGAAAATACTTTAGATTTTCAGTGACACTATTGTAGCAGTACACTTTGAATGGGTAAAGTTTTGTTTCACCTGTCTTTAATGTTACCTCTTTAAGTAGGGGTTCCCTGCATGCAGTCCTGCGAAAATGCTGTCGGTGATGTGGGTACTGGACAAAAGTGCAATTTTTTGAGACTTTTCGTCTGTGAAGAGTTTCATAGCAATCATCAAAGTTATATAAACTGTGACACTTGGGGCACACAACATACTTTATGAACTTATCCCGATCAAGTCCAAGTTGTTTCCGAAGCAAATGGAGTGATTTTGGAAGTAACATACCAAACCTTTCCACTATTGGAAAAATGGTTCCCAAGGAATCAAAAACTGCACGTAAAAAAGCAAGGAGTGCTTCAAAGGCATTGTCAGAGAGTGAGCAAAAAGATGACCACAGGCATAGAAATATTAGCATCCAACGAACAATAGCTCTTGCACTTGCGATTATTCTTGAGGTTTCAGAGACATCCACCGTGGGCACATTACTTAGACCTTGAGGGAAGTCTTCATTGACATCTTCACCTGCGATGTTCCAAAATTCCATCAAAACATCTGGTCGCATCTTTTCATGGTACATAAAATCACTGGAATCTGAATCACTCCCTTTTAATAACAAATAATCCTCGACTTCAAGATTTTTAATGGGCACTCCAGTGGTATCTGATAAGTAATGAACAACAAAAAATAATACTTACTACTAATAATATTATTACAAAGTATTGGATGCACACTCAATTATGTATAGTCCTAACAGATCAGGGAAATCCAAGATTACATAGTCCAATCATATCAGTCCACAAGCTACATGTAACCTTTCAATAAGATATTAGTGAGGTATTTTAAACCAAGTTACATAATACAGGTTTCAAAATAAAAACAATCAGCAAAGAAGTGTAACTTTTTACGCCATTTTGGTATTGGATGTTTGTTTTCAAATTGATTGACATATAAAAGGGCACCTCATCATCAAAATCGCTATTTGGGGAAGTGGGTAAGGTAAAAAATAAAATTATATTACCTTAGTAAATTTAAATTAGCAAATTTATTGTTTTCGACCGAGGACAGATTTCTGACGCAAGGTAGACTTAAAAGAATTAATTCTCCAAACAATTTTCCAAGTGCGACCCATGCCTAATGCAATGAAAATCCGTAAATAAGAATCAGCAAGACCAGGTTTTTAATATGAGCCTGCGTGACTGAACACCCCACCCAAACTCTTGTTTTTTCACTAAAACCGCTGGATGCCAAAACCTGGTTGAGTGCTGTAAAATTGCGCGTCCCTTTTTGGAAAATGTAACTAAACCTGCGTTGCACGACGCACAGACCCGAGACTTTTTTTTTTTCTGATCATTTACATTTTTTTTATTTTTTATTTTTTTTAGTAACATTTATTTGGTTACCACACTTCTAATGACAATACTTACATTTACATGGAGGAAAAATACAAAAAACGTACAAGAGATAAAGGAAAAATACAATGTTACAGCATTTACAAGTAATTTAAGCCCAAAAAAGTTTTACAAAATTGACTACTATTTTCAAAATTGCAAAATAAAACACGATACAACAAAAACATAAGGAGTCTGTCCTACCAACTAAAAGGTGCTTTGCATTTGCATTTGTTTCTGCATCACTTTTAACTTTTCGAACTTTTGGAATTATTTAATCAGCAAGTTACCCAAGACTCAAGACTTACATAAACTTACTTGGTACATTTATGATCATGAGTCTATTGTAACCAGGGTGGGGGAAGCTACTTCCCATACATTCTCTTAAATGAAATCCAAATGATGTTCTCACAACTTGCGAAGCGATCAGCAAGGGTCTTGCCAGCGGATTTGTGTACTGATCATGCGCATTACGTCAAAAACCATAGATCAACGGTCTTGAGAAAAAGCAAAAACACGGCAGTCGAAGGCGGGACTGTTTCTCACTATTATATTTTGGTAATTCGCAAATTTCTTGATTTTATGTCGCTTTTCAGACATAGTGTGTGGTTTTCTTCTTCTGTTAAACAATTTCCCTTTGCAGAGTTGGAGTATACAACATATAGCTCTGAATAGCTGCTAAGATCCGCCGAAGAGTTGAGCTATCGAGCAGTGTTTTGCTGCAAACCATAGGAAAGTTAAAGTCGCTTCAAGGTACAGAGCTTTCAGTAATAGTTGTGATTTGTTTTAGGATCGTTTTGAATTTTAACTTTGGATTCAAGGTGTTGACTGATCGAAATAAACGAAGTGAAATGTTATGAAGTGTTAATTTTTATTCAGTTATGATATCTACAGCAGTAAGCTCAGTTTAATAAAGCTCTCTTGAATATACCTGCTTCCGATAAATTTGACACTTGCTCCAGTAATTTTTTATATCAGTATCAAGTTATCCTTGCCCAGCAAAAACGATGTAACCTATAAATAAATCCATCGAGGGCATTGTTGTTGGTTAAGATCTAGCACGGTTGCGTTTTAGTTTCCCCCGCATTTCAGTACCGAAAGACGAATAGGATATGCAAGAAAAACAAAGATACATGATTTTTTTTTTTTTTTTCAATTTTTAAGCATTTCTTATTTCCTCCGTTGGTTCGCTTCTTGCTTCTAAAAAGTCTAAAAATATTTACTGTGGGAAAAATACTGTAATTATCCCCTGACCACCACGCTGGGTGACCGCTTTGCAAGTTGTGACAACATCGTTTCTCGGTCCCAGACCTCGTCCCTTCCCCCCGCTCCCCCGACCCTTGATTGTAACATTTTATTTTCTTGGCTTCTTTCGTTGAACGGTTTCAAACTTATTTTTCCATCGCGTAACAGTGAAAACACTTTGTCAACTTAGCCGTCAAGATGACATTTTTATCTAGAATACACTTACCATGCGCTGATTGTGTGTGTTTGTCTGTAGTTTCACTGTGATAGATCTCGCCTTCTGAACCGTCAGCCTAATCCATGGCCATCCCGCTGCACGCATCACGCAAATGACACCTTGTTTCGGCTTGTGAGAAGCTATCGTCCTCGTCAGAAGATTGGACTTTCTGCCACTCATCTTTTTCCTTGTCGAAATACAGTTCAAAATGGTCTCTATATGTCCTCACCGATACATTCTCTTCGCAATGAGGGCAAAATCGCCGCTTCTTTGGAGCCATGCTCACTTGACTACAGCTGTAGAATCTTTATGAGCCTTCGATGCAGCTACGCGGCGGTAAACCCGGCAAATTATGCAATCAATCGATCAATCATTAAATAGCATCACTTTGTCGTAGAGCACCAATGAAAGTCCAGTTTTTTGCCTTGTTGGCTCATTTATTGGCTCAAACTAGAACTGTTGACAGGAGCGGGTTTACAGGCGGAGTATTTGAATTTGCATTGTCGTCATTTCGTTCCTTTCTCTCTTGCGCCGATTTTGAATAAGCACTTGGCTTCGTACGGAAATTTCTTCTTTTCTTAGACAGAAAATGGCTCGTGTTCCACCAAATCAGCCGAGCAAACGTCGCACTAAGCCTTCGAGGCCGACTTCTTCCAGCAAGAAATCTGGGAAAAGTCCTGGTCGATTTTATTCGAATTCCGCGAAGCATTCAACGCCGCCTGCGCCAGAAAGCCCGCCAGAAAGCCATGATGATACAGAGCAGCACGAATCGACATCGTCGTGTTCCCCGTCTTTGTCCATTCTAAGCAAATCACAAAGCAGTTCCTCTACAAGTAGACCACAAAGCAATAATCCCTCTCCAAGCAGTGCACGAAACAGTTATTCCTCTCCAAGCAGTTCCTCTCCGAACAGTACACAAGACAATTCCTCGCCGACTTCTATCGCCCCGCTGGTTCCTGGTTCCCCGTCTTTGTCCATTCTAAGCAGATCACAAAGCAGTTCCTCTACAAGGAGACCACAAAGCAATAATCCCTCTCCAAGCAGTGCACGAAACAATTATTCCTCTTCAAGCAGTTCCTCTCCGAACAGTGCACAAGACAATTCCTCGCCGACTTCTATCGCCCCGCTGGTTCCAAGGGTTCCAGGAAACGATCGAAGCAGTGCTAATCGCCTTCTTGAACCTCTAAATTTGGCGTCTGCGCTGGTTGAGGTACCTAACTCTCGTGAAGAAGATCTTATGACCAAGCTTGAAGCTTTATTTGAAAGCCAGAAAGAACTGTTTGAAAAACACGCGCAGCGGGTGACAGAGCAACAGCAGAAAGGGCGGGAAAATCCTCCGAAAAACAAGCGTCTACCTAAGGAGCTATCGGTAAGTTTCAAGTCTAAATACCACCAGCATATATGTCTGTGTTTTCTGTCTCAGTTTTTGGGTATCTATATTTATTTTTATGCTTTCAGCAAACCATGTTATCTACTTGTTAATGGTTGCAATTTTTTGTATGAACCCTGCTAGACACTAAAACTATCTTTATGTAAAGGATAAGAAAAAGCAAATCATTCAACGCAAAAATTTGCTTAATGATATTCAGTCTAAGATAAACAAAACAAATGTCATTTGGTCAAAAGTTGTGCAAAAAGATATGGCCCTTTCTAGCCAAGAGAGAGCAAGTTAAAGTAAAATGTTTCCAAATACAACCTATAGCAAGAGGTTTCTCCTTGCAAAGCATAGGGTTAGACAAAAAATAGTGAGAAAATATAAATATTCATTTCCCTGTACGTTTTTCTTTTATTTCAGGCCAATGTGAGAGAGGTCTATTCAAGCTTGACTGGGGTAGATGGAAAAGAGCTCACGTGGGATTTTTCTCAGAGGTTATTTTTTTTTAGCAAATGCCTTTTTTACCTCAGTTAAAACTAAAACGTCTGGTACACTAACATCTTGATTGTTGTGGTTCTACAGGTTTATTTTACCATTTGTTTGTTTTCAGTTTTCTTCAGTGATGGTTACTATAGTCGCAAGGTCTAAATTTGGGTTTTCGTTTTGTGAGGTTTGCTTAACTTTGCAGGCCATCATTGTTTTACACCAATATAATTCGGTGACGTGAACTTTGCAAGTCCATAATTCAGCGGGTTTTCTGTCTTCATAAATTTTACTGTCAAAACTCTTTGGTTCAGTGATATTGTGAGATCTTAATTTTGATTCATTTTATGGTGACGGCATTTGCCAGATCTTGAAGCACAAGTGTCATCCTGAGTGACCATCATATTATTGTTCCACTTTTAAATGACAAGTGATTCTTCTTTCATAAATTTCACTATCAAAACTCTTATGGTTTATACATATGGTACAGTGATAATGTGAGATCTTAATTTTGATTCATTTTGCGAGTGACGGCATTTGCCAGATCTTGAAGCACAAGTGTCATCCTGAGTGACCATCATATTATTGTTCCACTTTTAAATGACAAGTGATTCTTCTTTCATAAATTTCACTATCAAAACTCTTATGGTTTATACATATGGTACAGTGATAATGTGAGATCTTAATTTTGATTCATTTTGCGAGTGACGGCATTTGCCAGATCTTGAAGCACAAGTGTCATTCTGAGTGACCATCATATTATTGTTCCACTTTTAAATGACAAGTGATTCTTCTTTCATAAATTTCACTATCAAAACTCTTATGGTTTATACATATGGTACAGTGATAATGTGAGATCTTAATTTTGATTCATTTTGCGAGTGACGGCACTTGCCAGATCTTGAAGCACAAGTGTCATTCTGAGTGACCGCTGTATTATTGTTCCACATTTTAAGTGACAATTGCAAACCTCATTATTTATACTTGTTGTACAGCTCAATGATGTTGCAGGGTCTTTTTTCGTTCTTTTTGAGAGTAAAGGCTTTTGGTATATCATGCCAAGTAACCACAATTAAATGTCTATTCTTCTAAGCAACTTGTGGGTTGCCTTTTAATTAAATTTTTTCCGGTTCTGACTGGTTTCACAGTTTACGTGTAATTTGGTCAGGGCTGTGCTCTATTAAAGCCTGGTGACCTGTGGCACCCTGCTCTTAAACTGTAAATGACAAGATAAATTTCTTTCAGTTTTATTTACAGAGACACTCAGAGCAGTCACCAAGAGTGTTACATGTAAAAACATGCGATATCATTGTAGTATAAAATGACAATTATTAAGTTAGCCATTATTCAACTCAGACATTTTCTTTTATCTTATTTTTTTTTAGCTTCTCTGATCCCATTAACAAAACTGTTAATGCTGCTATTGTGGATGGTGTTCGTAGCACTGACAGCACAACCCATATTTACACTATAAAGGGTACGTAATGGAGAAATTAATTTATCTGCTTAACAGTACTTAAACTTGACTTAATTCCTCTTCTTACCGAGTGTTTCACATCATGCCACATTTTTCAAGTGTTTTTGCTGTGCATCCATTCTTGCAGTGTGGTGTTGTCATGCAGTGTTCCTGTTTGTTTGTTTAGACCAACAGCGTTAGCTGACTTACAGTTATTGTCCCCCATTAACTAACAAAACAGTATTTTCAGTAAGATGTCTGGGCATGGTAAAGGCATTTCCTTTTCTTCCTCTCCCCATCATACTTTTTTGCTTACCCTCACTCATATCCTGTGTTTAATGTGCTTCTTGGCTAATATGTATACAGATATGACTTCAAAGCCAAAACAAGCCAATGTGAAAGAGTTTTTGAGGCTCAAAATAAATGCAACATAGTGTTGACCGTGTGAGTTAATTTTTTTAACTAATTATTTATAAATATAAAGTAATTGTGTATTGTCTTTTATCCCTTTAGCTGCGATGCGTGTTCATTTTCGCACCAAAAAACGGCAGCAAAAGATCATAGACAGCAACAAGAAGGCAGATGTCATGAAGGGACAACGAAAGAGAAGCAGAAAAAACTTGGCAAGTATATTTTGTTAAAAGGCAAATAAATTACTATGCTATTTTCTATAACCTCTTGTGGAAAAATTGGAACAAGAAAGGAATAGTGTGCTTCATACTTTAACAAATGCAGAATCGGCTGAGAGAGGCATTTCTGCTTCCTATTTTAACACCTGTTGCAAAAACAATATTATTTTATATATACTTCATAAAAGAGCTAGTCGGAATAATATACAGGAAGAATTGCTTAGCATTGCATCATTGTTCTGCAACTCAATCATGTTTATGCTCGGTATGAGTAGTACATGTATGTTTATTAACTTTGGGTTACTTGTTGGCTGCTGGCTAAGTCTTGCTCTTCATTTTTCTTTCAGAAAAAAAATAAAAGGGCCAAAGCTCTGAGGGACTCTACCAGCATCAGCCAGTCAGACAAGGACAAGTACTGTTCATGTATGTCTGTTGAGTCTATGTCCTCAGAGGAGTCTTTGTCTGAACCTGAATCAGGAAGACATGACCGCAATTCCTCAGGTTTAGATGAGGACGTCCCAAACAGGAAGAGACTCTGTGTGAGGCCACTTCTTTGGCGGCACAGAGTTGAATGGTTTAATGGCTCGGTTAGACCGTAAAAGCAACACGACGTCAAAGCCAACGGAGCGCTAATATGGTTATTGAACGTACGGTGGGACCAGCGTCAAACCGAGAAGCACCCGATGATGCTCCCGAGTTTGCTCTGGCACCCACCACTTAGAAAAAGGAACTAAATCATAAGTATAAGACAGATAATTTTGCTTTAAGCTGATTTCTAAGCATTTCGGCCCTATAGGAAAGTCTGCATGAAAAAAAAAAAACAACAAAAAAGAAATGTTATTTGAAGAACATTCAGAAATGAAGACATTTTAGATATTTACAAAATAGAGAGTTTTAGATCCAAGTTTACCGCGAACCTCTAACCGCTGGAGGTCACGTGACAAGTCTTTTGCGTCATGTTTGAGGTTTATGACGTGTGTTTTCAACATGGGGAGATAGTAACGTAATGATACAAAAATCTTGTGGAGTAAGTCTTTAACCATTAACAGAGGCATAAATTCAAGTGAAATGCTAAATTTGATGAATGCTATTGGATCTTGAAAACAAGCGCCATTCATGGCTGCTGATTCAAAATGGCGGCCGTAAAATTGCAAGAAGAACTAATGTAAGAATTTACAGCTCTTTACTGCTAGATAAACCAGTGTTCCTGTAAATTTCTTTTATTTTTGCTGATTGATTTTTCTTCTATTTCTAAATGGAAAAATAAACCAGAATCCACGTCTTTAATCCACTGCAAATCTAAATCGAATTATGTTTCAACGTCAAACCACAAACGGGTAACTACAAACTGCGGTTAGAGGTTCACGGTAAACTGGGATCTAAAACTCTCTAATAACAATAACACAAGATAAAGTTGACATGCATTATGATTTGGTTCCTTGTCAGTAAAGTTTCTCTAATCATGTTACTCAATAGACATTCCCCATTTTTTTTAGTTTTGATTAAGGAATAAGTGAACATCCTTTGAAACTCAAGGGAAGGAGCCACATTAAAACTAGATAAATTACCAAGTTTAAAAGTGATTTGTCACAATCCAATGAAGACATTGCCTGCATCGCAGACACTCTAAACCTTCTGTATAGTGTCTGCAAATTAGTGCACAATATTGTGTTGGAATCCCTGAGTCGCAAAGACGTGGGTATTTTTGATTGGCTTGTTTTTTATGCATTTTGTGATTAATCCAATGTGAAGTAAAGTGTCAACAGGCCTAACATGACTCCAGTGAATGAGCTCATGATGGCGTGAAACGTGACCTTAGGGCCAGCTTAAACAACAGAGGCAAATTTACAAACCATTAAATTTGGCTTGAAGGAATTCCCTCAAAACCTTTTTTTTATGTTCAGATGAAGGCTTTTGAGTTCAAACTACTCCGTCACTGTTTACTGAAAACTCTCCTTGCTAACTCCCTTCTGTGAATTTTGACATGTCACTGCGCTCAACCGGGCCAATGGTGAGGAGTATAAAAACCCGTCTATCAGAAATGCTCACTTATATTCTTGTGGCACTGCTCGATATCAGACAAGCTTCTGTGCACTAATTCTCAGACATACTATAAAAATGGTCAAGATGATGAGTGGGCTGGTGCAATCTCAATGACCTTTGTATGGTACATTGAAGCCACAAACTTGACCCTACCATACAAATATCTGCAAAATTTGGCATCTTTGCAGAGCTGTTTTTGTTAGGTTGTACCAAATCACTCTTCAACTTGGCAACTTTACTGAATTTTTAAGACATTCTTTCTAGTAGCCTGTAAATACAGCTGTATTTTCAGTCGTTGTGTCCATTCACCCAACATACTTGGAGATACATCTGGGTGACTGTCCACAGGCTTTTGATAATGATTGCCTTTTTTCCAAAGAAATATACAGTGAAAGACCAAATTTCTAATACTAAACTAGAAAAAGGCGATCACTGTTACATCCAAACACGGCACAAGGATCTTTTTCTCATTACAATTTTATTCTAAGAAAACGTTAAGAAAAGATGTCCCGAAAAGCACTCAAAAATACAAACGAAATGTGCTCATGCCCCCTGGGCACCCTATAATACTCCTTAAATTGAGTTTATTCAATATGGCCGTCGTATCGGTAAAAAGGTCTATTGTGTTAGGTTTTGTTTGCAACACCAATATCAATCCCATACTGCAACAAAAACAGCTGACCATGTGAATCAGGCAACATTTTTTTTGCAAATAATTTGATGATAGAAACAAATATAAGAAATTATTTATGCTCATAATAAATTAATACTGTACACGTAGGTTTATAATCAAATTGCAGATTTGCTTCCACAACTTGAAAAGCTTTTGACTACCTATAGGATGAGAGTAAAATTGGGGGTCGTTTCATGCTAGTTTTAGAAGTTTAGCAGGAAATAAAGCCCCTATATGTATATGCTAAAAAGGTGACAAAATTGACCTTATAATGTTATTGTTTTTATTTAATTATTACTACTGGGTAAAAAGATTTATTGAAGTTGTACCCAAATCATAGAAATACACAGAGCTCTGGAAAAGTGACACATTTTAGTTAAAAAATATTTTGAAATAATTGATTTGGTTAAAAAAGAATCATACAATGTATCTCCCTTTAGGGTCAATGACTAGCACCAGATACACTATATTATATGGCAAGATGCAAATAAATATTCACTGCCTATTTTGGGTGGTGGATAATATTCAACAGATGAACATAAGTACTTACAAATAATTATTTTAATTATAGAAATAATATATAAAAAAAAAAAATCAATTATATTCTTTATTATTTGAGGAATATCACTTAACATGATAATATTTGAAGCTGGTTTTTTATTTTAATACTTTTTTTGTATATTAAAGCTAATAAAGTCATTTTATTCTTGAATTTTTGTTGTTGTCTAAATAGTTTGTCAGTCATTAATTTATAGTACCAAATAAAAATAAGAAACATGTGGATAATGATCTTTTGATCAACTTTGTTTACCTGAGCAAAAGTATGGAAAACTCCTTTTGGCAATATTTGCCACACTGAGTAAAGATATGGAAAAAAACTGATATTTGACCCAACTTTGCTACAATGAAGAAAAGTATGCAAAACTACTATTTTGACCATATTTGCAATCCTGAGCAAAATTGAGAATAAAGTGGTATTTGAACAAATTTGCTACCCTGCGTAAAACAGTGGAAAACGACAATTTTGATCATATTTGCCACACTGAGCAAAAAGTACGGTAAAATGATATTTGACCAACTTTGCTACTATGAGGAAAAGTATGGAAAACTGCTATTCTGATCATATTTGCCACCTTGGCAAAATTGAGGATAAAGTGGTATTTGGCCAAAATTGCTACACTGGGCAAAACATAAATAAAATGATTTTTGCTCAGATTTACTATCCTGGGCAAAACTGTTGAAAAATGAGTTTTGGTCGCATTTACTACAGTGAGCAAAAATGTGTGAAATTATTCCTTTGATCGAATTTGCTACAGAGAGCAAACGCATTCAAAAATTCGTCTTCGATCGGTTTTGCCCATTTGAGCAAAAGCCTGACAAATTTCAGTTTCAGCATCAACTTTGGTACCTTTGTAAATGCCTTGAAAAAGTAAAAGTTATCCTTGTTTTTACTCATGCGGCAAATTTGAGGCAAATTCGGCATTTACCACCTTTGCCATCAATGCAAAATTATGGCAAATTTGATGCTACGCCATTTGGCAAAATTGAGCAAAATTGAGCAAATGTGGCATTTGCCGATGGTTTGCTCCAAATTTTCTATACGGGTAAATCCGTTTTTTCGTCCAGTGACATCTTCAAAGAACTTCTTGTAATGTGAAAATATGTTCTAAAGATTAAAACCTCATTTTTCAGTTATACACATGATCAGTTTGCAACACTCACCTCCTGTCGTCCTAGAGAGATAAACGAAAAAATGAAAATACATGAGAACAACATGTTCTTTATTCTCATAATTTATTATACGCAAGGCAACTATGCCTCATTAAATTTCTGTAAAAACGAAACTAGGTTGAATACTTGTGTGGACCCTCTCATAGCAGAGTCCATTCTAGGATAGCCAGCCCCTCTCTTAGATGAAAGTGGGCGAATGGCCTCTATAGAATTGCCTTCCAGTCCTGTAGATGAGCTCTTTTGCACAGCAGTACATTACACTACACCGCATGGCACCGCACTACACTACACTATCCTGTGATCTGCCTTACCCTGATTAGAGTTCAAATTAAACAAACTGAACAAAATAAAAGAGGAAAAAAAGATATGATAATTGCACCTTCTGGTAATAAGGACTGCGGCATCAGGATGTTCGGGATCCTTGTCTGAATCTGGAAACTCTTCAGCCACCCACTTTTCAAACGCCCTTATTCTCTCACCCTTTGCTGAGCCTGAATTGTAACCAAACTAAACAAGATACAGAAAAAAAAAACGCTGTGTGAGTGATCACGTACAATACCTCACTCGCACAACTAATTAAGGTATTGAAAAATAAAAGAAGGCATAAAATCTTGTGCACTGCTCTGGGATGGGGTAATACAGTACATAATAATGTCTTACTCTGTCTGCTGCAAAATTATTGGCAGTTCTTACCCCGTCATTTTTGAGCACTACTCGAAGAATCACAGGTGTGATTTTGACAGGCCCAATACTTTTATCGTGGAATAGTTGAGTTACCTTTGGAAGAGAAAACACGACAGATTAGGACAGCAACAAGAAGGAAACTCATATAGAGAGGAAGGGTGGGTGTAGGGGGTGTAAGTTATTTATGCAACCTAATGTGCAGACACCGCTTGCGTATTTTGTAAAGATCTCGTTCTGTGCTTTTCCATGGTGGGTAGGGGAGGGGTCCTCTACTTTCCGACTATCTTTTTCTTCAAAAAAGCCAGCTTTTGCTTACCTAGATTCGATCGCATGTCCTACATTCATTGTAGGAAAAAAATACATGAAAATTCCCTTCATTTTGCGTATCGTCAGCTGTTCTCAATGGGAGGCTTTTTATGGCTAAACAAAGAACGTCAGTACAGCCTCATGCATATCTAGCTGGATTTCTGAAAACGGTACCGCCATAAAAAGGCCTCTTCTGTCAAGCAGCTTTTTTAGTTAAAAATATCCAAGTATATTCAAATGAATATTAAAAACTATAAAGAGTGCAACCCAACACTTTTTTTTCTCTTCTTCTCTTCTTAACTTTCTTCCCTTTCTTTTTATACTGTCTTTCTCCTTTCTTAGCTGGTGTGATTTTCGGGCTCAGAGGATGTCTTTTTTCATTCAAATGGCTTCAACTTTCGGCTGGTATGTATGCTTCAAAAAACCCGGCTACATAGTAAACGAAACAAAAAGGCTAATAAAGGGAGAATAAGCGATTACGTTCATATTCCTATGATTCATTTTTCTCACAGGTCAAGTTGTCTACTTGTTGCAATACAAAGGCCAAAGCCCATGCGATGGTTTTAACAACAAACCTTGGTCAAGGACGTCCAACCGAAAAAAAAGGAGTGCAGCAGAATTCTAAGCATTGCATCAATTGTTTTGGCCTGCTTCTCTTTTCTATTGGTCGCTTATTTGTTAAGGCTATCATATTTCACGAGACCACCCCATTCATGGTTTTAGTTTACAAAAACAAGAACATACTATATGGGCAACGGTTAGCAGGTGATCCATCATCTTTTCCTCGCCGTAAGCCGAGATGGCAAAGTTGTCTGCTACAAGGGCCACTTCTAAGAACTTGTGCGGAGCTTGACGTTTTTGTCTCCAATGACGTCCTAGTTTTGCCTGGTTTGAGGATCTAACGATATCATCTAACAAGAAAGGAACATATTTTTTTACATGTGTGAGAGAAATTGACCCAATTAGTCGGCCTTTTACGTAAATATAAGAACTCGCTGGGTCGGTTATTTAAACGAAGTCTAACTTAGACCGCGGTTTAGGAAATCTTTGAACTTCCAGATCTATTCCTTAAGTGTGTTATTTTAAGAAGATAAATGATTTTTTAGTCTGCGCCATATGCTTTCATGAAACGGTTCACGATGAATAACATTTAGGCCCGCTTCAAACGTCGTGCTACTGCCGTGCCGAACTCAATTGATTGAATTAAATGCGACTTTAGCGCGGCAGTACCGCGACGTTTCAAACCAAGTTGTGCTACTGCCAAGTAGCACGGCAAGCCTTGCCGTGCTACACGGCAGTAGCTCGACTTGGTTTCAAACGTCGTGCTACCCGCCGTGCCGACCTCAATTCATGAATTATAAATACATTAGAAGATATATTTAAACGTTTGCTAAACCGTTTCTTTATTTTTGTGTTTTGTTTTTGGCAACAGCCGATCCATTCGACTGTCATTGTGTGAATTAAATTCGACGTCTGAAACCAAGTCTTGCTAATGTCGTGCTGCAGTCGAGCTACAGTCGAGCCAGCTTAACACGGCGGTAGCACGACGTTTGAAATAGGCCTTATTCACCGAAATGCAGGTGGCTAGCTAGTGGTGGTATTTACCTAGCCTAAACTAAAACAGTGAGATAATTGAGCACAAAAATCATGATTTTTAACTCATTTACTGTTGCCAACGATTACAATTTTGGTAGGCAATGACCTAACGGCCGTCGCGTTTTCTTGCCTACAAACAAAAGGTGACTTGAAGGCATTTGTTAAGCTCTTCCGGGGAAATTAATTCAAAAGGAGTTGTGAATTCTCTTCGTATTTACAGTCATTCTTAGAAAAAGTATTAAGTTTAGTTTTAAGATTATTTATGAACATGTCAGCTAAAGAAAGTAGCGCAAGACTGAAGCTTAATTTGCAAGTTGCATTTGTTAACAAAAACCTTTTTCACCAGTTTCATCGATGAATTCAAGTCAAATAGGCAAAGCTTTACCTGTTAAAACTTCCAAACCAAATATCGTCACCTTCGTGTATTTCGGGAACAGCTTGTTTGATTACATGTATTTGCGAAATTTCTTTGTTTGTTACGGTAGCAAAAAGGGGAAAAGATTTTGCTCATAACTTAGGCGAGTTTGGCGTCGCTTTCTCGGGGGAACTGGAGGTGAATCATTGAATAGGACTGGATATCCAGAGGTTGAGTAGCAAATCAGAGCGCGCGAAAAACACTATCCACTGTTTTAGTATACAGCTATTTCGAGAAAGGTTGTCGGATCAAGTACGCGCGACAACCCCGAAAGGTATTGTGGGCGGTTTTGAGTTCACTGTTTTTCAAAGAAATTTGAAAGAATGGCACGAGAGGCCATGGACATATGTCTGCGAGTGCTAAAGGAAAGCAACAAAAGTAGGTTCGACAGCTACAGTGTCAGGAACAGTGTATTGAACGTATCTCATATTACCTTTCGGGATTGTCACGTGCACATTTTTTCCGACAACCTTTCTCGAAATAGCGGTATACTAAATGTTGTTAACACAACAGTATGGCTTGAAACGCGGATTTGTTAAACCCAGACTAAACTCCATTTAAATATCTGGCCCTTTGTTTCTCGGTCTTGCAAAGAAAGACCCTTTACGAACCTGAGTCATTTTCACAAAATTTCTAATTATGAAAAGAAGCGGATATTCTTTCCAGTGATACTAATCCATGGTAAATGGATCGACTGCAGATTTTGTTTTTGCTACAGCCAAAAGCTGTAATTGACTTTCAGATTACTTAGACGGATTTCAAGAATTTTCTTAGAATACCCAGGTTTTGTGGCGGGTAGGTCGAAGGGGGGGGGCATGGGGTGTGATGTAGAGGAGGGGAGAGAGACGATATTATCACTTCCCAGACAATCACACTTTTAAAAAATTCCCCCTGCTTGGGAAATCAAAAGAAGGTGACCGACTATACTCAGTCAATACTAACAGCTCGCTTGCCAGAATCGAACAAATTCGGCTTTTGAAGGCATACCTGAACTATGGAAATCTGATGAAACGTCCTCTTCGTTGGATCGCCGATAGATCACGTGAGGATGGCTATCTTTTAATATGTTACTTTTTATAAGATGAGAAGGGAGAGGCTGTATGTAAAATGTGTCCCCTAGAGTACTGATCATTCCCGTCTGTCAAGAAGCAATAACATCAATTATTATAAAATAGGTTTTAGAACAAATGATTTATGTACTTTCTTAGCCTGCGTAGCAAGCGTTTCCAATCGAGTTATTGTGCGAAAGTTTGAGCGGAAGCAAAAAAAAGGTTGATTCGTTCCCCTCCCCCTCCCCCGTCATTCATTTTTTTTTTTGCTCTTGTCCCAGCTTTCTAGACGAACCTCGCGAGGAAACGCTTGCTACGCAGGCTAGTACTTTCTGTGACAATCAACCTGAATCATTAACCCATTTTTTCTATCACTGCTCACGCTCTAAACAGTTTTGGATTGAATTTGAACTATATTGGTGCCTTATTTCGAATCAACGAATTCGTCTCTGCTTGGAAAATGTGCTCTTTGGAATTCTGACGGAAAATCCTTGCCCTTTACTTCAATTGCTGAACTATTTTATAATTATTGGAAAACTCTATTTGTGGGACTGCAGGAGCAAACAAATCCTTCCAAACATTTATGGATTTAGAGCCAAGATCATCGGTAAATATGAAACAGAAGAAAAAATCAGCAAGAAAGAATTCTTTAAAAGAAAGTGGATACTGACGCCTTATTTAAGTTAACTGTATGAACTGCGTATAATTTCGTTGCCCTGTTGTACTTTTTTATGATTTCTTTTAGCCCTGTAATAATTTGACAATTAATTTTGCTGTACTCTGTCAATGCCTCTTGTTAAAGTGTTTTTTTTTGTTTGTTTTTGTGATATTGTAAATGTAATTATTTAATGCGATTATCAATAAACATACTAAAAAATAATAATAAATAACATCAATCATTTCTTCATTATGTACACTTTGTGATCTCATGATCTCATTTTTTCTAATGATCGAAGGTTGCATCTGTTTTGGCAGTTAGCCTTTACGAAAAGACAATTGAAGTAGACCTCTATTTCAACCTAAAATGTCTTCATCACTGAATTTTTGACATCTTGAATCCATCTGCCAAAACTGGCCGAAAGCAGCTATTCAAAATTATGCCCTTAAGTTAACTTTGTTAAATACATAAAAAAGACATCTACCTTTTTATGGGAAATAAAAGCTCCGTTAAAATTAAGGTATTGGAAAATATGTTACTTAAATAAACGACTAGAAATAGAAAACGACTTTCGAATAAAGAAAATTTAATGCGAAAGAGAGGTAGTCAAGAGAGGGAAATAATTCAAAATGAGGGACAATTTAACGTGACGTTCACAAAGAAACAAAACCTGTAGTCATGTTGAGACAACAGGAACAAAGTTAAACGATGTGTAATCCCAAACGGAAACTTTGTTCGTGGTTCTTTCCCTAAACGTCCAAAGGGGGTCAAGCGAAGTCTGGCCACTTTGAGGGTTCTTCACAACAGTTTCACTGTTACTGGCGAATCTCCACCCTGATAAAATACTCCTCTGACAAAATCTATCGAGAATTTGTGGCCAAAATAATGGAAGTTTAAGGTAGCAGAAAATAACCCTCCACTTAATCAACGACACGGAAATTAAAGTTAAAAAAAAATTAACGCGACTATAATTTCGTGACCGGTTAATTTCCTATAAAGGAGGAACTTCTCCGTGGACAATACACTGTACCGCGAAGGTGTTAAAACAAACTCAAAGAGGCAACTTCATATGCGTAAGTCAACTTACCAGCCCTTTATTTTCTCTGAGTGCAACAAGTGAGTCTGGGTCCGAAATCACATGACCAGTGTAGTGTAAGCCATGAGGAATGTCTTTATAGGTCGAAGTACCATCGTTATGAACCGTTTGAATCAAGGCATTAGAGGATACAAGGGGCTTCATTCGGGTCACGTTCAGAAGCATTGATCTGCCAAAAGCCTGGATGTTATAATACAAAGCGTTCTGCTCATATGTTGCTCTCCGTGCTCTGGTTTTGCCTTGAAGAAGATTTTCAACTTTATTTCCATATTCGTCCGATTGGTAGAGTGCTGTCACTTCGTACTCTGGGACTGGAGAATATATAAGGTAAAAGAATGACTACCAAAACAACAATATTGAAGCAGTAATAACATCTGAAGATTTTGGGTGATTACGGTGAAAATTCATGAATCGAAAACTAATACAAACGCAAAAGATTTGTGACTATCGTTGCTAGTAATATTTGGATCTAATTCCATAAAAAAGTTTAATTGAACGGTTTTTTGTAAATTAAAGTGATCCAAATTAAAGGATGTGCGAACATAATGCAGCCTCCAGCTTCATCTGGTTAACATTCCAACTTGTTAGATCTATTCAGCCAAACTGACATACTAAAGCGGGGTGCCTTGCAGGATTCATTTGATATTAAATTCAAACTTAGAAACAGGCTTAATTAAACAGTGTTAAAACCTTTTCCTCGATTGTCAACTCCAAATGTCTTCTCCAGATCTGCGTCGTTCATATTATGGTGTAAATCATGGTACTGCACGAGAGAACAATTCCTTTATTAACTATATTACTGGTTAACCTAAAAAATTACCCAAACTATTGAAATTTAATCCAAACATAACTCACTTACTCTTACTTACGCCACGTTACAGTCGTAAATATTTTTTTGGAAGTTTCTATTTCGCTGTTCATTGGCAATCATTATAGCACGGTAACTGCATGTAACAACATGAAACATGCGATTGCGAGCACGTAACGGTCCTCTTTCCCCGAGGGAGATATAGAGCGATCACACTACTGCGGTCTACGCCCCGTGCTCTTTTCGAACAGCATTGTCGGTTCTTTCGCACGCCAATGCGAATTCATTAGAGAAGAAGGAAATAAGGCAAACTGCTTAATCCGCTCAACATCCTGTGATCTTTAATCACAGTGTAGTGTTTAGACATTTTCGTGACTGCTATAAAGGGTTAAGGGTGCGCGAAGAATCATGGTATGGTCTGTAGGATGTCGTGCTTGTTTGTATGGATTAAAGAAAGCTGTTTTGTCCGTCGTCTGCACTTATCCGTCTATTAATCTTCTATTACCACACAAGGCAAACATGACCTAACCAGATTTTTTAAAAGACCTTACTTGGCGGTCCGGCCGGGTTTAAACCCAGCGGCGCCCTTTCAAATGAACTAACCGGGTGGTCGTGTACCCCCTTTGTTTACTTAATATTCACAAACGTATACATCTCTTCTTTTTTGTAACTTAAAGCAATATGCGCTCCTTCTCAGTGAAGAGAATGATTTGTAGGCTTCGAATCTCATTAACCAGGCCAATAATTTTACATTGAACTGTATTACCTGTTCTTTGAAAAAATGATTGCCTGCAATCCCTTCTATTAAAGAAAACCAAAGAACGTTGATTAGCAAATTGGTCAGTCACTGAAAACAATATATTATTCTTATTTTTGGGTACAGAAAGGCCATTCAAAAAATTACATGTCGAATAAACAGAAGTTTTTCAGAAAGTACAAAATTTGGTGTGATATTTCACTTTGTTTTGTTTTGCTGTTGTTGTTGTTGTTGTTGTTGTTTTTTTTTGCCTCAATAAATCTAGTATACTGGGCTGATTTTATAGCTTCTTGTACCTAAATTTATCCCTTCAATGCCGTTTATTTGCGTTTTCCCTGCTGCCTGTCCTCTCTTGCGTCAGGTTAAAAAATGATGTCGCCTCAGTGCATTTTTAAATGTGGTACTTACATGCAAATAAACTAAGTAGATAAGAGGTATCACCGGCTCTTTAATCTTGTGATTTGGATGACAAAATTGATAACAATCCAACGTTTGTGCACATTTGAGGTTTTTCTCGCACGTAAGGCACAGTCGAAAGGTTGTCAAATGTACTCTGTTCCGCTTTCCTCTTACGGAAAGCAGGTGTAAATTGATATTACAAACTTGTTATACAATAATACAATTATAATAATAGGATATCTGATTCAACCTCGCTAGACGTACCTGCCACAATTGTTAACCAGAACAAAGTTGCAGCGAAGTTTATGAACGTACCAAGCGAGGCCAAAGGTAACATCTTTTAATTCCACAATACCTGTAAAAGGACATAAATCACAACATGTTTAAATTGTAGTACTATGTAGCATCAATTGCCCTCAGTTTATCAAAGTTCTTTCAATAACGTAAACTTTCCACAGGTGGAAAATTGTTACAATCCTCACAATGTTTCTATTATTGTTGCTTTAAAAAGTATTTTCATAACACTTTGTAATTCAAAGAGATTCAAAGGAAGTACCGTTTTGGTTGAAAAGGGTAAAGGAAAATTTCTGGTAACTAGAATTGCACACCAGAGTCAAAGAGAACTTTGTGAATCTTTCGAGGAAGTAAAATACAGCCTCTCGGATGGTAAGTGTGGTTTTTTGGCCTTCAGGATATGTTCCTATATAACTACATTTTGGATCTTAAGCTTAATAGTATTAACAGCTGTCCTTTAGTGAACGTCAAACTAACAACATTACAATAAATGGACCTATTGTTTTCCCATCACCACTTCCTTGCTCTAGACACCTACCCTCATTCAAAAGATGACAGGTTTCTTTTCATGTGAGAATATTTGATCCCAAACTGGTGGTTCAGTACGTATTGCTATTATTTGTGTCCTTTCCCCCCTCTGTTTTTAGGTTAATAAACTATTTTCAGTTCAATTCAAGTTTTACAATGAATGACATGTTGTCCAAACTTGTACCTAACGTGTAAAATTTGCATACGCGAAAAGCTTTGATTTAAGTATACATCATTGTTGTCCGAAGCCTTTTTTTTTGGTAGAACAAAAATCTCAGTATAAAGGTGATGTTACAAGAGACGATTCGCAACGACGATTTTTAGAGCAACACATCGTTGCAACATTGTTGCGACATTGTTTCGAATGGTTACAGCATTGTTCCAACTTTGCAACGCCGTGTTGCTCTAAAAATCGTCGTTGCGAATCGTCCCGTGTATTAAACATCACCTTAAAGGACGATTGTAAGGTTGGAATTACCATTTCCGGCTGAGATATTACTAGGCCTTGCTGATTCATTAATGGTAAGGGTTAGGTTGCACGAACATGCACGGTTCCTTCCTTCTTAATTACGCCCAGTATACTCTTTTGGTGAGCAGATATTGTTAGTATCTGTTCCTAGATGCAAGTAACGCTTAGATTAGCCTCAAGTCCATTCTCATACACCCCCTAATACAGTTATACTCTGTACCACACAAAATAACAAAACAAATCATCTCTAATTTTTTTTTTTTTTTACCGAAAAAGAATCTCACTATTCATTCGAGTACTTTGTCACAACCATCACCTAAACTAGGATGGGTACACAGATAATAATCGACATGTTATTTATAAGCACGTTCTATTTTTCCCTCTTACTTCGTACGATTAAAGAAAACTTTTCTACACTATTAAAAAGGTAGAATTCACAGTCCAAGTAATACAATAAAATCAAAATACCCGACAAATGGCCAGAAGCTATGATTTAACTAACTACGTGGTTCCTATTTTTCAGTTTTTTTCAGTTGAAATAATTAAACTTCCTAAAAATTTCGTTTCCTTTCAATATTTGATAATTTTTAGAGGCAACGTTCTTGTTGAAAGAGAATGAAGTTTTTTCTCCTCTTTAGAGTATGGATTTTGTTTCTTTGCAAAAAAGGGAATGAACTCTTAAAATATAATACTTACCTACTTACCTGAAGTACTAGATGTTTTTGTTCAAAGTGATCTCTCAAGATCAAGGACACAGGTTTTAAATAGTCAGTATCAATGTATAGCCGTACGTGACAAAATGAAGTTATTACAAAGTGGTTTAGTAGTATTAAATTCTCCAAAATAAAGGCTTAAGCAGTAATCCTTTTCATTTGACGTAATTACATATCCTAAATTTCCCTTACCGAAACAAAACTGACGTTTAAATAGCGCAAACGGAAAGAAAAGAAATTACTAAACGACATGGTTAAATAAAAACCACTTAGCTTGGACCTGTTAGGTGTGAAAGAAAACAAGAGAAATAACTTAACAATGAAAGGTTTTTCATCCTCAACCATAACGGAAATCAAGGCGTCACGATAACGGAAATGGCGAGAGGAAGTGATTTACTCATAGTTAGGCGTCGGTTCTATTTTTTTATGTTCTAGAAACCAACTAAAACTGACTCCTAAACAAATCATTTTTGCCAAATGAATTAATGGCAGACAGATCATATGAAAGGGGTACCATTTTTCTGCAGTTAGCTCTCGCCTTGCGGAGTGTACCCCCCTAGTTCAGACAACAGCAGCTAAATCCCCGGCAAAATTACGCAAACTCATGTCTTCTCACACATTAACAAGCTGCCGCTATGACGGCGGGGACACTTAAACATCACTTTTCTGGTACTTGTACGATTTCGCTGTTCTAACACTCTTTAAATCGGAGACTCAGTGGCGTTATTGTCAATGACTATTTGATAAAAAACTATTTATAGCCAACTTCCGTTACCTCAACCCTCGCAGACTCGAACCTTGCGCTAACTCGAACCACAATGGTTTTCCCCTTGATTTCTTTAATAAATTACAGTAATTTTACCCTCGGTAACTCGAACCCTCCCTAACTCGAACCTCCCGCTGACTCGAAGTAATTTTTGCTTCCCTTCAGGTCATTTCTATATATAATTTTACCCTTGATAACTCGAACCATGTTTTAAGCGCATGACAAGTTGGGAAAAAAATTGTACTGTGCAAAGTCCGAGACAATTCTTTGTATTCCTTTAGTATCAATATATTTCAATATGTATCAATATATTTCTCGCTGGCCTAGAAGTAGCCTGCGAACAGCAGACGAGAAGCGACGACCGGAAATGCGTCTGCTGTTCGCAGGCTCACCCTGGAAGTGAAACTCGCATTCCTTCTTCCTTTCACTTCCTTATTTCTGGTTATTTGCTTCGAACTCCCGAGAACTCGCCCTTTTTCCGAGTTCCTTAGTAGGTTGGAGTTATCAGGAGTCAACTGTATTCCACGTTGGTTAAATTCACGCTTCTTCTTCTGTTGCAAGTGTGTCAATCAAAATTCAGTACCAGGAGCCTTGCCAAATAAGTTCGTAAAGCCTTATGGATATTTCTTTTCCTGCGTTCTTCCTGCGGGTTTTGTCTTCGGGCTGGGAACAGTGTGAGCCACTCTGTACAAAACTTCATCGAGAACCCTTCCTAAGCGGAGTCCTACTGTTCAACGGCACGAGAAGCGAAGATGGAGGGTTCCAGAAAACAATTCATGGACCTTTGTTTTATATGCGTCTTGTAGAACGACAAAATCGAGAACATGAGGGCTATATATAGTTTGCTTAACTCAAAAGATTGGGAAAATATTCTCAAAGTGAAAGATTAAATATAAACACCTTGGACCAGACATACATGACCATATAATGTAAAGAATCACGTAAAAGCCAGTTGAAACCAAATAGTTTGCTGCACTGTTCAGCGACTGAAGTGAAGTGAAATAAGTGTATGGGTTGTGTGTCACCGAGAAAAAAAAAATGATAATAAAACAACATAAATAATTGTTGCGTGTAAGCTGCTCGTTGTTTTGTTATTCGATAGCGATATTTTCCCCTTGAGCCTGCTTGCAGGACATCCCTTTCTTTTTCTTATTTCTTCTTGTCGGAACAGTCATGCCAGGAACAGGTCAAGAATCGTGACCTAAAGTTTAATTTAAAATGAGTTGGAGACCTACCTTACAAAATTAGGCGGGTTAACTTCATCTGCTGTACACCAAATCTTCTTATTCTCCTGTCGATGGGGGATCCGTGTCTCAGAAATGCTGCCAGTCATTTGATCATCTAAAGATTATCCTTAACAGGTAGCCTGCAGTGTAGGCGTATTTTTTGGGGGGGGGGGGCGAAAGCTTGTTCATGTTCGTATTGTTGTAGCCGCCATCCTGATTGGTGGAGCATAGAGGTCATAGAGAGATAGGGGAAGTAGATTGATACCTGTCAATTAACAGTAAGTCAATATTGTTTATTCCGTTTTGTATGCAACTGCTCTCTTCTCCGTAGAGGCTCCCCCATAGGTATCCCTGCAAAAATAGCCCTAAGAGATGCAACTGCGGGAAAGAATTATTCTGACTCAGAAATGGCGGACTTAAATTCGAATTTTAACTCTGCTGTCGAAGCAAGTGTTTTGGAATTGGATCGGCTGGGAATGTCACGTGTATTACGCAAAGAGAAAGTCAAAGCGATTTCTACACTGGCATCAGGACAAGATTTGCTCGCACGCCTACACAGCTTTTCATGCCAAAATGCTTCTTGTTCCAAACCGTTTTTTTTTTGTGGCGAGTAGATTATGCTTTGGAGCGTTCTACGTTTTGACTGAGCAAATGTGATTTTAGACGCTTGTTTACGTCAGGGCACGCTTATTGATCTTCTCTGGGTTTTGAATTTCTGGTCTTCATGATTTGCCCTCTGATGCAAGAGCGTTTTCTTTGACTAGTTTAGCTTAGTTTAGCTTTCTTACCATCATTATTTTTCAATTTTGCCACGGGTGCTGGTACAAATTCCTCCACTGTAGCAAGTTGCTTATTTATTGTGGTGAAGTACACGTGTTTGTACTGAAAACACTCTCCCATTTCTTTTGGAGCCTGTGACTTGAACTTCTTTGTTAAATGCCCGGCGACATCATGAATTTGAACTTTTTTGCGGCAATGGCTCTCTATATTTGTGTTAAATTGAGAGCCAATTGCTTCTTTGGATTTATCATTATACATTTTGATAACCCAGTGATCTGGAATGTTTTGCTTGGTGGATTTTCCAGTTAGCACACAGTGTTCAGAATCACGGAATCCACCTGACGAAAATTTCTCTGAATCTACTGCACATTCAACTTTCACTGCATCTTTCCATTGTCTGGAGGCAATGTCTAATTGTTCAAAGTTCAGCAATAACTTTTTTTTAGCTACAGATTTAACCAGCTTTCCAGCCTCCAGTAATGAGGCAATGGATACAGATGCAGGAAACTTAGTTGTTACCGAAAAGCTTCCATAAGTTGCTTCGGGATTATTGGATGCATT